TGGTACGTTCTACTGCGTGCTCATCTCACCTAGACTGCGCTGTGTTCAGCGTTTAAGCGGTGGTGGATACCTCATCCCTTTCTGTGTTATTCTCTGGAATGGTTGCTTAATCTGCACTTTTGTTCGTGGTGTGATGTAACAGAAGGATTGCTGAAACTTCAATTTTCACTTGAGGATAACGTAACGATAGCGAACAAAGCTCGTCTGACAAAATCACCGGACCGCGATAGGGTTTGTGTTGTTTTCCAATCATTCCGATACCACATTGGTAGTTCATATAAATTCCAATAGAAATATAGTTATCTTTCTCACAACTGAAGACACTGTCTGACTAACTTATAGTTCATTGACGTATTACGATGTTCCGCTGCGAAAGTGAGTTCCGATAGAGTAGTTGGATCCTGTGTTCAAGCTATCTGGGTTGATTTGTGGTGCAACTGGTAACCAGTGTTTGTACATGACGAGCTTGGTGTTCGGACTGAACCTCACAATCATACAGACAACCCCTAGACAATGAGGAGGCGAGAGCCTTCATGCGAAACACAACTGATCGATTGTTACCGAAGGACAGAAGGGTTGAAAATGGGTAAAAGACAGAAGGACAAATGCCGCACGGTGGTCTGAAACAAGTGGAGTCGCCAGGCAAGAGGGCCCCGGAGGCTCGCAACTGGATTTCGCGAATAGGGGCCGTGTCCAGATGGCAAACTTCAGGGCACAGTCTGAAGAACAAATCGCGCACATGGAGATGGACAAGTAGTGTTATGGTTGGACTGGTAAAGAAATGCAATGATTTTATTTTGAACCCGACGCTGAAACCGAACAATAGGGAGAGGCACCATGAACGTGGTTACAGTACTCCATGCCGGGACGTATCTGAACTGAGGGAAAAATGCGAAGTTAGGCAATGATGAAAACAAATGCTTCGCGCGTCGATGATACGAAACCCTAACGGATTCCCATGGTGCGAGTTCACGAATAAGCGAAGACTATGATGGAAACGAGGAAAAATATAAAAGATACGCAACCATGTGAATGAGATCGATAAAGCAAATTCGAAACATATGGCTTTTAACCCGCTGGGGTATGTTAGAATTGGATTTGAGTTTTGGTGCTCCAAGCACTTGGCACTCGATCGCGTCAGTAACAGATTACATTTTTACCTTCTGGCGCATCAGTTCGGGAACAAAATGGTGCAATGTTTTTCCAGGAGTTCATTGATCTGCGTGGATTAGTGTGAACGAAAGGATAAAACGAGAGTGAAAGCATTACATCAGTCAATTCGGCATTTCAGTAACCCGCTTTAGAGATTATGCTACACCTGACGTGGTAGAAAAACAGCGGACGATGTTCTGAATTACATTCGTAAAAATTGGCCAAGTAAACTAAGTTAAAATGAGTGAAACTGAAACATGTGCGTCAATCTCGAATCACTAGGCTGTGAAATATATCAACCGAATATGGTTCGTCGTTGTTTTTTTTTGTTTTTTTCAATAAGCCTCTGTCCACCTGGTTTGATCTTTTTTAATTACACACACACACTTTATCGTCATCACATCATTACGGACGATTTGGAGGATGTCAGTAGCTAACATACAAAAGATGGACTTACTCGTAAAAGGTTCAACAATCCGGTCACATTGTTTTCGTAATAGTGCAACGGTTGGGAAACAGATTCCCCGACACTTTTGAGAGCCGCAAAGTGAATCACACAATCAATTTTATACTTCAGTGGGGGGGAAATAGAAAAGAAAACCACAATTAGAAGGATGTAAACGGTACCAGAAATGTTTGCGTGTTGGTGATTCATTGAATTGCATCTACTATCCAGTTCAATGGTGACTTACAAATCACTGTTTGAGCCACACCTGCTTAGGTGTGTTAAAAATTGTGGAGTAAACAAATTCCGTTTCGGATGTTGTTGGTGATTTGTTCTCCGAGCTGGAAGTGTGTTGATCGCAGACGTTTCGCAGCCAGGCTAGGCAACATCATTATTGTAATTTCGGAAAAGCGCCGGTCCTCAGTGTGATCTCGCTTATATCGTGCTGTTCAAAACCCTCGAACAGAACCATACAAGCGCGGTCACACTGAGGACTGGCACTTCCTCCAAATTACACTGATGATGTTGCATAGCGTCCGCGTACAAAGTGAACCTAAGACCCAGTATCCAGATTCAACTGGTGAAAGCTAACTGGTGGTTCTGTTTAGATTTGCTTTGTTAAAAGTCTCATTCAGATTTTTTCCAGCGGTCATTGTGATTTACGAGAGGATTAGTATAACATGCGAAAAACTAGTTCTCTATGCTGAACTAAATCGAAGTAAATATTACTGGATTTCAGAAACAGAAAAAAGAAATGTATGTTCCTTAAATTTCAATAGTCTGTGTGTTAATTGACTGATGAATTTGGTTGAATCGGAATGAAACATGTGGATTTCCGTGACCTCATGCTAATTACCAGACATAAATAATATGAACTATTGCTCCTGTACTCTGTCTTATTACATCTGTCTAACCGTCAAAATGAGCCAGAATGTTGGTACTGTTTTGGCTCTCTCATCGAATCCTTGAAATGTCTGAAAATCAGGTTTTGGTGACCGATCGAGAAGGTGGAGTTTTCATTGCCGACCCCATGGTGGCACACGGTCCCTACCACGAGTCCTCTTCAAAAGCATGCGCCCGCAAAACTCTCGTTTCTTTCTTTTTAGACTATATGACAATGCGACAGATTACGCCAGATTCAACTCACTTTGGAAAAAACCTTGTCAACCGCGGTGTAGTCAACCAGGTCCACTTTTTCAAACGGAATGGTTCGGTTGTACATCTTTTCCACTCTTTTGATTGATTCTGTTGCAAATAAATGAGAGGGGGAAAAGAGCATCGTGCACTAGTTCGCTTCTCTTTGTTGACACGTGTTCGGTCTATTTGAAAACGGCTTAAAAGCAATCTCAAACGATAGAATAACTGACGTAAATCAATCGCACAAACAAAGTAACTTGCAAGAGCCAAGCTGATCTCAGTCGCCATGAATCCATATTTTTAACAAAATATATTATCGAATTTCTGGTAGACTTAAACCTGATTTCTATGGTGCACTGATCACTCATTGGGTTAGTTTATCGCGTCAACATTTATATTTGTCCCATCATTCTCGAAATTCCAATAGAAGTGCTGACCCGACAACCCTATCCGGAGAACCTTCAGGGACTTGGAGACATTATCGATGATAGTGGTGTTCCCATTGTCAAGCACCCAGTCTTTCTCACTTAGCTTATTTTGCTACGATGTACGAGGCGGCTGAGCAAAACGTTTCCGGATATGTAGTACACTACAATTACGAGGTGCAGAAAACGTGAACTGTAATCTATGGTGAATATTGTTCAGTGATTGCAAGTCACAGAATCAAATAACAGCACAACCGAACACAGCTCACAAGTCAAATGTTGGTTGCTATACTCGGACTGTAAGGATGGAACTCAGTCGATGCTACTGAAGAGTGATTTGGTACGACTACAAATGTGGTTTAAAGCAGTAGCAGAGTGTTGATCGTTTGCGAGTTCCCTTTGGAGATAACGCGCTTTCACTTAGTGGTTTGCGGAATTCAAGCGTGGCAGGGGGTCCCTGGATGATAAGACACGGTGTGATCGACCTGTGGAGGCCACGACAGAGGACAACATTGCTGCTGTGCTAGCATTGATAGAGGAGGACGCACGAGTGACGATGACGCAACTGGCGAAAGCCATTGGGATCTCAACAGGATCAATCTGTACCATCCTACATGAGAAGCTCGACTTCATAAAGGTTTGCACGCACTGGGTAAGCCATCAGCTTAGTTTAATTGGTTTAATTGGCGCTGCACTATGCCTTCCAAGTTTGATAGTGAACGTTCCAATACAATTTGGGCGATTATCAGTGATTATGAGATCAATCAATAATCGGATCAATTGACGCTCGTTGGTTTGGCGCCGCCTCAGAAATTCCGATACGAGAGCAGTGTGACAAAGCAGATGGTGGCTGTGTTTAGGACCAAAAACCTGTTATGTGTACTGCTGTACTGCCCGGTGCGCCACCTACTGTCTGTCGAAAGTACTGAAAGCTGTTGCCAGGCGTCGTCGAAGAACTAAATCACGAGGGTCTTCGCTACATCATGACAACGCAGCTGCACACGGGTTCCAAGTCGTGGGCGATTTTCTGGCAAGGGAACGTATTCAGGAGGTTGGTTACCCACCTTACAGTCGAAACCTAGCTCTGTGTGACTTTCTTGTGTTCCTAAATGTTACGCGCATAATGCGTGGTATCCGATACGAGTTACCAACAGCTTTAGTGGCATGCTTCATTGAACTGGTCGAAGGGTTACTCGCTTCGGTATGGTCTAGCTGTTTCATCAACAAGGGTTGAGCGCATGGAACTGTGTCAATAACACTGGTGTATAATACTTCGAAAAAATATAATACTTATTTTTATATAAAAAATGAAACGTGATGTGTATTCGGAAACGTTTTGCTCAGCTCTCGTATATTACCTCAGAGAAACTGTACGCAGTCGTTTGGATCCCATCGTCTTTACATTACTCAACCAGTTTGTGGGCAAGAAAGTACAAGTATGTGAAATCAAAGGACCGGATTTGATCAGAGCTTTTACCAACTATGTGCTGTTTGTATATACACAAAAACTTCACTGACTACCAAGATAAAATTTCAAAACGTTGATAAGTGAATAATAAATCATTCAATGGACGTTCCCAAAGTTATGAGGAACAGCATATCGCCATCGAGCAACCCAAGATGTGACTACTGAACATCATGAACGTCTTCGCGTGTGTGCATCTCCCGCCCGGAACGCATCGGGCAGATCAATGTGTTGAATGTATTGAACCGCGCTTATTGGAACAGAGGAAACCAAGTAGACCGGACGGCCTGAAACCCGTGCTCTCAAGGGAGAATGAATACACTATGACCGTCGCGCCCAAACGCTCTCAACTATGCACAACCAATGCTTGGTTGAACGAAGTAGTCCAAACTGCTGATGAACAGTACGCTCCATGCCAAGTCTTTTGAAGTTCTCCGTTTTATCTAACGGCGGATAGTTAATCCACTCAGTTCACTCACTGCAACCTATCCTCAGTGCTCTAGCATCACGTGTATGTAAAGTCTCTTGTGCACTCGACACAAAATTTTAATTTGCTAGAACTTTTATTTGCGAACAGCATAAGTGCATTCGGTCCGGAAAGAACAATTTCAATCAACTTTTGCCTATTTAGATATTTCATCTATCCTTATTCGCCTCGCAGCAGACTGATCACCACCAGTTTACTCACTCGTCTGGAGTAATCTCCACTGATTTAATTTCCTCCAGGGGCTTATACCTCAGTTGTATGCCGATGATGCAATAGTGAAATGTCCCCTAGCCATATC